CCACCCACTCAATTAGGTCATGTAAGTTAAGCGTCGAAGATTAGTTGTTAAAAGAAAGTAACAAACACAAACAGGAGAGATAAAGGCGATACAGGTTTGGGTTAGAAAAAAGGAGCAAACCACACCAGAGCACCCTCTTACAACACACGCATGGATAGTAACTGGATGGACATGCAAAATAATGTTGAAGGCGGAGAAAAAAACACTTGGTAGGTAAGTTAAATAATATTCGTAGGCTTTTCCAGTCAGTGTGAACCAGCTCCCGGGACCACGTCCACACTTAGTTTTTGTTTTAGTTTTAGTGTGGGTGGTTGGCGGGTGCTCTGGTGTGGTTTGCTTTTTCTTTCCTGTCAAACATCTATCGTCCTTATCTCCCCTTCTTCTTTTTTATGTTTGTTAATATTACTCTCTTGTAACAGCTCTAATCTTCTGGCGCTCATATGACCTTATGCAGTTGCGAGAGCCGTAAAACTTCTACTAAAACTAAAAACTAAACTTAGTTTTAGTAAGATTTTTACAGCTCTGGCAACACAGTAAGGTCGCATAAGTGCCGAAGATTAGAGTTTTAGTTTAGTTTTAGTAGAGGTTTTACGGCACTCGCAACAGCATAATAAGGTCATATGAGCGCCAGAAGATCAGAGGTGTTACAAGAGAGTTAAAAAAAAAAAAAGAAGAGATAAGGACGATAGATGTTTGATAGGAAATAAGAAGCAAACCACACCAGGGCAGCCGCCAACCATCCACCCGAAGGTTAGAGGTTTTACAAGAGAGTAACAAACACTAAAAAGAAGATAGGGAAATAAGGACGATAGATGTTTGTTGATAGGAAAGAAGAAGCAAGCCACACCTGAGCACCCGCCACCCACCCACAGTAAAATTTCTGCAGCTCTTGCAACACAATAAGGTTGTATAAGTGCCGAAGATAAGAGGTTTTACAAGAGAGTAACAAACACTAAAACTAAAAAGAAGATGGGGAAATAAGGACGATAGATATTTGTTGATAGTAATGATAGGAAAGAAGGAGCAAACCACACCAGAGCATCCGCCAACCACCCACTCTCCTCACTAGATTTGGGGTGCAGTTTTGTGTAGATTTCTACAAAATAATGGTTATCTCGGTAAAGGACAGTTTAGTTTTAGTAAGTGTTTTACGGCGCTTGTAACACAATAAGATCAGTTAGTTTTAGTACAGGTTTTACGGCGCTCGCAACATCAAAAGGTCATATGAGCGCCAGAAGATTAGAGGTGTTACAATAGACTAACAAATATAAAAAAGAAAAAGGGGAGATAAGGACGATAGATGTTCGATAGGAGAGAAGAAGCAATATAAGTGCCGAAGATTAGAGGCGTTACAAGAGAGTAACAAACACGAAAAAGGGGG